ATTTTGAAATGTCCACACTATAGTCAAAACCCACCAGTCAATTCAATTCATAAATCCGAACTTATCTGCTTCACATACCTAAGTTGAACAATTTCTGTGAAAACATTGTGTGGATCAACTTACACTCATCGACTTCAATTTTTTTTTTAAACAAAAAAATTTTATCAGGACAAAGTAAAGCTTTGGATTCAATTCACACCGAATTCTCTCAGAGTCCAGATTGACCTGCTACGTAATTGAAAAATCATTATCTGACTTTATTAAAAAGATTTTCTTCCAGCAAATCTCAAACAGATCTAAAACAAAAAATGTGAGAGGTTCTTTTCGCAATTATTATATCATTTCCTGGCATAGACTGTCAGGCGTTCTGTCGGTTCCAATATTTATTATTTTATAATGAGGAAAGGATATGAGAAGACGAGACCAGGAACATGAAAGTGAATAATCTCTCACAATCAAATGTCTTCTACAATATGGAGGCACATATTCCAATTAACTTTTTAATTTGTGTTTAATAGTGTTTTACATCTGTCTATAGATTTAGTTTGAAGTTGTGTAGTGAACAATAGATCTATTACACATGGAACCCCCAAACAAATATTCTACAACAAATTAAGCTTAAGAATGATTCATTAAAACTTCCTGACATAACAACACTTTCTTACTTACAGGAACCTTTCCGGTTTGGTGGTTCACATTGTCACAGTTCATATTCACACTCTTTATCGCCTGTTCATATTCTCACTCTTTATCGCCTGTTCATATTCTCACTCTTTATCACCTGTTCATACTCGCACTCTTTATCGCCTGTTCACACTCTCACTCTTTATCGCCTGTTCATACTCTCACTCTTTATCGCCTGTTCATACTCGCACTCTTATCGCCTGTTCATACTCTCTCTCTTTTTCGCATGTTCATATACACACTCTTTATCGCCTGTTCATACTCTCACTCTTTATCGCCTGTTCATATTCTCACTCTTTATCGCCCGTTCATATTCTCACTCTTTATCGCCTGTTCATACTCTCACTTTTTATCGTCTGTTCATACTCGAACTCTTTATCGTCTGTTCATACTCTCACTCTTTATCGCCTGTTCATACTCTCACTCTTCATCGCTTGTTCATATTCTCACTTTTTATCGCCTGTTTATATTCTCACTCTTTATCGCCTGTTCATATTCACACTCTTTATCGCTTATTCATACTATCACTCTTTATCGCCTGTTCATACTCGCACTCTTTATCGCCTGTTCATATTCTCACTCTTTATCACCTGTTCATACTTTCACTCTTTATCGCCTGTTCATACTCGCACTCTTAATCGCCTGTTCATACTCTCACTCTTTATCGCCTGTTCATACTCGCACTATTTATCGCCTGTTTATACTCTGACTCTTTATCGCCTGTTCATACTCTTACTCTTTATCGCCTGTTCGTACTCTCACTCTTTATCGCCTGTTCATATTCACACTCTTTATCGCCTGTTCATACTCTCACTTTTTATCGCCTGTTCCTACTTTCAATCTTTATCGCCTGTTCATATTCTCACTCTTTATCGCCTGTTCATATTCTCACTCTTTATCGCCTGTTCATACTCTCACTCTTTATCGCCTGTTCATACTCGCACTCTTTATTGTTCATACTCGCACTCTTTATCGCCTGTTCATATTATCACTCTTTATCGCTTGTTCATACTCTCATTCTTTATCGCCTGTTCATATTCACACTTTCTATCGCCTGTACTCTTTATTGCCTGTTCATATTCATACTCACACATTTAATTTTAGACTGTTTTTACAAAATAACTTGATCTTCTAATAGAAGCTTCTTATCTAAATGATGTCAACTGTGGGAGAATTTTACTTAATAAAAATGATTTTAGACTTTAAAAAGGTCAGTTTATGACATTCAAATGATAATATCGGTTGCGTTCGATTTAAGAGAAGTGGCAGATGTCCGTGAGAGCAAGTTGTAGGTGATGCAGAGAAAAATCGAAATGCACGTGCAACACGTACCAGAGTTCTGTATCAAAACAAACTGACAGAGAATTCAGTTGCTGTGAAGACGGTGAGCTCATGACACGTCTAACCTCCCATCAACACGAAAAGGCCATCAGATCGCAGCGGCACAGAAAGTTCGTCAGACCATTGGTCACCATCAGCAACCCATCAGTGCCGATACCGTTCGAATTCGGCTCGCCTCCCAGAACAGGTCTTGTTGCCGTCCATACAGGGGTCCGATACTCTCTCCCCATCATCGTCAGCAACGTCTTGCGTGGGCCACTCAACAACAACATTGGCGGAATCAGCAGTGGAGAATCCAAGTGTTCTCAGATGAGATCCGGTACTGTATTTCCACAGCAGATGGCAGAGTACGAGTGTGGCGAAGGGGTGAGCGTTTTACAGAACAATGTGGTTGAAAGAGGCCCTTGGGGACGACCAAGCATTATGGTATGGGGTGCAATCACCATCAATCAGAAACTTGGACCTTCTAGAATATCGACCCAGACAGAGGCAATGGAGTCCCGTTACATCGACCAGGTTCTCCACCTTCCGTTGTACTGCATTTTGCAAGACGCCGATTCTTCTATCAGCAGTATAACTTCAGAGTTATGACGTGCCAATCACTCAGCCCGGACTTAAACCCAATAGAACACTTGTGGGATGACATCCCAAGACGACGGAACCAGATCCAACCGCTTCCAAGAAATGCAGCAGAACTCAATGTAGCTTTCTTAAATGACTGGGCGCAGATTCCAATGGCGTCTGTAAATCGTTTGTGTACAGAAGATGCAGGGCCGTTATCAACGCACAAGGTGGACACACCAGACACTGACTTTCAGCTAGGATCATGTGATCAGAACCTTGATATGTCATAGCAATAACTTGAAAGACACTCAAACAATCCTTTGTGCCAAATGTGGTTGTTTTCTGACAATTATCTATTGTTTTATTGAACTATGAATAAACAATTCACTATTTTCTGTGCTTTGCGACGTTTCTTTATCTGTTCAGTATACTATCATCATCATTTTTTTGTTCACAAACTACAAATTTCGTTGTAAATCCATAATTGCATATGAGGAGATCAGTTAATATCTTCGTGTATTTGGATATAACCATTAAATTAGTTCGAAATAACACATCGAAAATGTCATTAAAATTCTGTTTTCAATTCAACAAACAATCATGAAATAGTGCAGTGAAATTTCCCAGGGAATTAATGGATGTGACAAAATTTAAACTCTTAATATTTTATCTTGTCATGTCCTAAAAGCAAAATCAACATTGATATTTCCTAATTCATTTATTACAGTGATGATTCAACGAAGCTCTTAATAATTACAGCCTAGTGCAATATTGTTATCGCAATAGAGATACCAAACTTTACTGCAGTTCAAATCTAATTGCGTTTTCAAAATTCAATTTTAGAAAAATAAACTTAGCGAACTGAAATAATTCGCAGAAATTTCATCTCAATTATAGATAGCATTGAATTCCCAGCACCTAAAGTTAGAGAAATAATGCGTTCTTTGCAGATTTATTTCCTTCTGGTGATGACATCTAATCTGTTTAAAAGGTCTTTATCGGAAATTTTGTGTTATTACAATACAACACCATTCACACAGTAGAGTAGGTTCACGAAAATCGGCTGTAAACATTTGGATTAACCCAAAAAATTTATTTTTTGAGTCAACAAAACTTAACAAAGATGTGGGCGGGGACTGGGTATCACTTTTATCTTCCTATGATGAATTGCAAAATTCCTAATACTAAAATAAGAAAGTCGAATCTCATACGTACACATCATATTAATAAGCTTGCTTTAGAAACGAGTCCATTTCATAATAGTGCTTTCTTGTAAATAATAATAGTGTTATGATCAAATTTATTCTTACCTTACGTAAATCAAACTTCCACAATATTAATACCTCGAGTTCTTAGTATTCAACAAGTTATTGGACCCTAGCTAGTTTATCTTAGACAACAAGACACAACAAAGTGTGATTGTTATCGATGGAATATAATCGACCAGTAGTTCCTTCTGTCTATAATCTCACATAACGTTTTGTTTGCGTAAAATGGTATTCCGTATAAGATCTCACATTAGGTTTTGTTTCTGTAGGATCTCACATTAGGTTGGTTTTGTTTGTGTAAAATGATATTCTGCCCAAGATCACACATTAGTGTTTATTAGTGTAAAATGGGATTCTGTCTATAATCTCATCATTTATTAGGTTTTGTTTGTGTAAGATCTCACATTAGGTTGCTTTTGTTTGTGTAAGATGATATTATGTCTTAGATCTCACATTGGCGTTTATTTGTGTAAAATGGGATTCTGTCTATAATTTCATCATTAGGTTTTGTTTGCGTAAAATGGGATTCTATAATCTCAGCATTATAGGCTTTGTTGCGTGAAATGGTATGCCGTATAAGATCTCACATTAGGTTTTGTTTCTGTAAGATCTCGCATTAGGTTGGTTTTGTTTGTGTAAAATGATATTCTGTCTCAGATATCGCATAAGGTTGGTTTTGTTTGTGTTAAGTGATATTTTGTCTTAAGATCTCACAAGACTGCAAGATCTCACATTAGGTTTTGTTTGTGTTAAATGATATTTTGTCTTATGATCTCACAACACTGCAAGATCTCACATTAGGTTTTGTTTGTGTAAGATCTCGCATTAGGTTGGTTTTGTTTGTGTAAAATGAGATTCTGTCTATAATCTCAACATTAGGTTTTGTTTTGTGTAAGATCTCACATTAGGTTGGTTTTGTTTGTTTAAAATGATATTTTGTCTAAGATTTGACATTAGGTTTTGTGTAAAATGATATTCTGTCTATAATCTCATCATCAGGTTTTGTTTCTGTGAAATGATATTCTGCCTAAGATATCACATTAGGTTTTGTTCGTGTAAAATGATAAGTTGGTATCTTAGTTTCACTGTAGAAATATTCAATATCATAATAATCATAAGCTAGTAGGTAAAACAATATATAGAATGAAACAATCAATATTTAAATAGTTTTTTTCACCAATGTGCAATTCCCCTTTCCTATTTGTAAGCGGCATAGGCACCATTTGCCAAAATATCCCCGGTATTTTCTTTAGATGGGGCCTCAGTGGGACAAAGTTGGTCTGCAATGTAGAGGGGCATTCTAATTTTGGATGATTTTAAGGAGCAATACAACAGCCCCGACCTATTTAGCTGTTCAAGAACAAAAACATTACATACGCCCACTGGCAGTTTTTTTTTCAAGCTGGATATGTCGTCGTGAAATTGTGAAGGAATATTAACAAAAATTAGAAATTCAAAAATATTGCAGTTATCGTGGTTGTTCTATGAATACGAGTTCGAATTTTAGATTGTAACCGCTAATTGGTCTTCGAAATGCTTTTGACTTTTTACCGATATAATCTCTGAAAGTCGCCCAGTTCTTACCAACCTTCCTAGTATTGTTGTTTTATAGCTCAAAGATGTACTTTATCGAAAAAATGTCAGAGAGTATTTGATTGCAATTTAACGAACTCGTTTTCCTAATTTTCACTGTTAAATGGTCCTGATGCCAAATGTTTTTATTAAAAAAGTTATGACTAAATGTGATGTGATGTTTGCCCAAAAACATGTCATAATTTAAACAAAGCTTCCAATGGGCGATTGTTGCCATATATGGAAAGGGTTATTGATAACCCAGTCCAATTTAAGCAAAATGTTTATAGATAGATAATAATTGCAATCTTCGGTTACTGTTCAGCGTTCTCATCAATACAGATCAGGCATCGTCGCTAATCTTACCAGGGATAATAATTTGGTCGTTTAAGCCGCTCACATTGGATTGTATTCTCAAGACATGAAACGGTGGTTAATCCTCCATGAGAATGATAACATTTGTACAAAGATGAATTTCTACTCTGCTTGTGAAGGATAAAGAAGTGATTCAAATGTGAAAAATAATCAAAGTAAAACAGTATTACAAAACAAACCATAAACACGAGACTTTTCTGGCGGACAGAAAAGAGACAATTTCAAGAGACATTAAATGTTTGATTCAAGTAGTTTTAATTTGGTCAAGTAATACTCAAGGAATTGTCTAGAATCACCACCCCGGGGTATGTCTTATATTGTATTGTAATGTTGGATATTAAATTCTTGGTTAAGTCAAATGAACGATACCTTAGGGTATAATATTGTCTCATAATAATCTCGTGCTTGTATTTTATGGCTTCTCAATCATCTAACAGATCATAATGATGTCATATCGCTAACAAAAGTAGGATCTGTAGAACTTTATTATGTTCCCATCTTAGACTTAGGAAGGTGAAAAGAAACCTAGGGAAATAGAACATGGAGGTAAAGCTAATCGTCATGTAAAGTAAAGTATGTGGACAATTAACACTATTTTTATATAGAAGGAATCAAGAAATATGATTGTGTCAAGTAATTCAGAGGCAATAACACGAAGTCTCTAAAGGGACAAATATAACACATTCCAAAAGTATTTGTTGGAATTTCTAAGTTAAGAAGCATTAAGTGCCTTTAATATTTAACATTTCCTCGTCTAGGACAGAGGAAGTAGAATGATCTTTGAATGTTATATGTCAGACTCCTATAAGAAAATAGAATTAAAAGAAGCTCTACTGTTGCACCTTAATTGGCTAATGAAGATGGGAAAAGGCAAAAAAGTATCCTAGAATTGTTCGCTTTTCGCCAAAAATACTGCCTGGCATATGAACCTATAACGTGCAATAGGCTGTAGTGCATGACTAGAAGCCTTTTCCATTA